ATCCCCCCTTAGCTTCAGTGCACAGGGCAGGAGGGTAGGATTCTCCTACACATTGTTATTTTAAGATTTAATAGCAAAACAAAAAAGTCTTTCTCTCCTGCTTGCATATCATGCTCTGAGAAGGTCAAGTTGGCAGACTGTAGGTACGTTTACTCTCTGTATCTCCCGTGCTTTTCACAGCTGAAGATTTTTCTGTCAAGGATGCTATGTGGCAGTTGGAAAAGCTGATATATTTGTCCTCCTTGTGTGTGCACATGAATACGTGCCTCACATTTCCTAAGATTGCTTCACGTTGTCTAAGATGGCTGATATCTCTGTGTTTTGTGTTACAATCTGGCCTTATGCTGTGAGACTTTAGGGACAGCCAGAAAGACTTCAGTGTGGGCTTAAACAGGCCTGCAAGGCATGAGTGAAACAAGAGAGCTTGGACTGGTCCAAGGGCTTGGACCTGGCAGGAAACACTCTGCTGGGTTACCAAGCCCTGCTAGCAGCTATGGGTTTTGGCTCTGTTATGTCTCTTCCTTAAAGCCTGCATCCTTCTGCTTTTGGAGGTGTAGTTGCCAGAAAGCCAGCATCTCACTCCATGGCTGTGCTTCCATGGCATTGCATCTTGGTCAAATGTATCTGCATAAGATGTTTCCAGGTGAAACATTCAACCTTCCTACTGCTATTCTGCCTCTGTTCTTTTCTTCACTTGGGCTTTGTGCTTGAGCTGGGCGACCTAACATTTGTCTTGACAGAGCCCGAGCCAAAGCTACGTGAGCTGACATGCTCTCTGCTAATTCTGAAGGCGTCAGATGTGGAGCTGGCCCAGAAGGATATGCGGGCTTGAGAGATTGCTTGTTGCTGGAAAAGTAAGGAAGAACAGGTGGTGACGTTTGCTTGTGGCTCCACCTGTCAGCACACTTACTGGCTGGATCAGCAGAAGAGATCTGGAAAGCCGGGTCTTCTCAAAGTATGGTGCAGGGACAGCAGTGCCTCCTGGACCAGTTTGAGATGGTGGTGTAGGGGGAAGAGTGAGCCAGGCCTGCTCCTCTGGGGCTGCTTGGGAGACTTGGAGGGTTGTGGAGCTCCCATTCCTCTCTGCCTTGTCTCTTTGTCCTTAGTGACTATGATGGTGCATCTTTAACTGGTTACTTCTCTCAGGTTCCTTGGCCTCCCTCTCTGGTGTGTATGCCTAGGATGTACTTTCTGGCTCCCCACTTTCTTTCTGTCCATCCTCAGCCTATTTGACGTGCTTCTGTGGTTTCTTCTTCTCTCCCACGTGGCTTGGACACTCAGGGCAGCTTTTGCAGAAGTTCTTTACCATTTGTCCAGCTGTGAAGGTATCTGTGCTCATGACAAAATATTCTGCTTCATTTTCTCTGGAAAAGATGAGGTCTGTTAGTCTGGCAGCTGGAGATGTGTTTCACTCCACTGTTAAGTTCCTGTGTCTGCCATGAGCTGACTGTGCCCTGCCATATCTCAGTTCTTCTGAATGCCTTAGATTTGCAAGGTGATGGAGAGATGAAGAAGCAAGCTGCAGAGAAAGGCAAGTGTTTCTTTGAAAGCCTCAGATGCTGTTAGTTGTTGGGGCTAACATCTGTGGTAAGGATCGCCTCTCCCAGCCTGGCCTGGAGAGACTTTTTTCTCTGGGTTTGTGTTCAACTTTTTTGTCAAAGGGGATGACTGCCTTCTCCTCATGTTCCTAGTTCCTAAGGCAGGTTTCACGTTGCTCTGTCTTTGTTCTAAGCAGCCCGCAGAAGGATGGGAGTGTGGGGAGACATGTAAGTGTGGGCCTTGGGTGTGGTGGGGAGAAAGGCTGCCTGAACTGTGGGGCCATCACGGTTTCTTAATGCAAGGACTCATCTGGTTTGGGATGTGCAGGTGGAGAATGGTGGTTCTGCTGGGTCTTACGTGGAAAAAGAGAGGGGTATCGAGGCTTGTAAATGGCTTGTAGTGTTGTACAGGACTGGATACAGGCTTCCCCAGCCTGTCTATGTGGTAGTCCTAAATTCAACAAGGACCCTGTGTGCAGCACAGAGACAGCTGGGGAGCTGTGCGGTGGCTCAGGTCACCAGGATGTGCAGAAGGGGGACATGGGCTGCCACCAGGGCAGTGTGGGACAGCTGGGGCAAGAGGAGGGCCCGAACCGCAGCTGTGGGGCTGTGTGACATGCTAGGGGCTAACTAAACAGCAGAGCATCGTTACTTCCATGTGATTAAAAGCTTCATCTGGAAACAGCTTTGATGCGCTGGAGCCAGAGGGATGCAATCCTGTAGGAAACCAAGCCACCGTTGTGCTGGGGCTTGGGGGCCATTGCCTGTAGCCACCAACAAGAGCAGAGACCTCTCTCTCTACGTTTTTTCCCCTTAGTTTACCTCAGTTTGTTAAGTGACCAGCTTTTGCTGTCCTTTTCACTGTGGTTATTCTGAGGGAACGGGGGAGCACGATATGTAAGCTGGAAAGTTCAGCATTTATAGCAGGGTTAGCATCTTGGTTAACACAAGTAGTTGTGTGTGCCTGCGCAGGTGTGTGCTGGGTCTGAAAGGAGATGGAAAGAGGCCCCTTGTTTTGGGAGGATAAACTGGCGGTATTGGTTCTTAACAACCAAAGGTAAGAGGATTGCTGAGGATTTCTGAGGTTTCCTGGTGCATCTGGTGGAGGCAGGGTGACCTGTCGAAATACTTGCTACTCTCACGGTAATTGTCTTGTTGCTTCCCTTAGATACAAGGCTGATTCAGCATGCTTTGTTGTGATTGGTGTGGGGTATCAGCTTAGGCGGTTCTGGCATCAGTAATTCTTGTGGCATGAAAAGGAAAGGGTGGAACTGTAATAAAAAATGTCACCAAAATGGAATTCATTTTAGGTGAGTTTTGCATGTGTGACGGTAGAAAGCCAGTGGTCTAAAGCGGAAAGTATTTTAATATGGGGAGCTCTGAGCCATGCCATACTGTGAAGCAGTAGCTACTTTCTCCTGCTCTGCTTGTCTTTAATCATTAGCTCATCTTAACACCAGATTCCAGATGATTTCCACGTGTTCGTAGATAACAAAAGCAAGCAACATCACTGTGAACACTGGAGTTAAGTCCATGGTTACTTGCATGCTCAATGATTGCTTTCTATTAGTGTAGTTTACTTAGCCAGTGATGTAATGTAAATCAAATGCTTCGCATCTAATCCATGCAAGGACCTCTGTTACTACTGTGAGTGAATAAATCTCATCTGGGTGAGCTTCTGTAGCGTGGGAATTAAATGTTTCTAACTAAGTCAGAAATAATGGCCTGTCATATAGGGGGGGTTGCTTCTTTGCTTCCTTTTTTTTTTTTTTTTTTTTTTTGCTTTAGC